ATGCATCATTCTGCAGATTATTTTACAAAAGCTAAACCCAACATCACAAGCCAAGTGGGAAGAAAGGCTAGAGGATGCGTCGTTCGTCAACTTAATATCATCGTATGGCTTCTTTTCTGGAGCAGAGATGCCGGACAATGGAAATAGTAAATTTTGCTATGTCAAGCTATGCCCCTAGCCATCTGGTGGGAAACACTAAAGCAATTAACACAAGTAGATCGTCATTTATCGCCACTAACCACGACGCCCCTGTATGCGTGTTTTGTGACAGCCCTGGTCATAATATATATAATTGTGCCCGATTTGGAAATTTGACCTCTGCATTACGGCTTAGGGAGGCAAAACGAGTTGCATTGTACTTGAATTGCCTAAAGAAAGGTCACCGATTGCGATCATGCAGCTCTGGATGCTGTCGGCAACTGTAGGACTTGCTTGGGACTCAGCGTGGAATCGGCTACTGTTTTCTTTTTCGTCCATTCAGCAGAGATCCAAACCGTTCAAAAGATCAATACTATCGACCATTACTCGTTTGTATGAACCGCTTGGACTCATAGGGCCAGTAATCGCCAAGGCTAAAATCTTTTTGCAGCAGATCTGGAAGGAGAAACTTGATTGGGACGAAAGCTTGCCATCATCACTAGCAACAGCTTGGCATGATCTTTGGTGCAGTTTTGAGAAGGCACAGAAGGCACAAACAATCACAGTTCCAAAGCTAAAGCTCTGTGGCGCAGTCTTACTATCTAATCTCATGCATGAGATATCTAAAATGTAACTCTTTGATGGGAAATTCTTCTGTTGTTCGGATTCTTCTGTATGCTTTTCCTGGATAAGGACCCAGCCCTGCAAGCTCAATGTGTTTGTCGCTAATCGCGTTACAGCAGTTCAAGAGCTAACTAATGGCATGGAATGGCTCTACGTGCCTACTTCACTAAGCCCGGCAGATATACTCTCGAGAGGATCTACGCCCAGTGAATTAGATAAATCGTCATTGTGCTTTTTGCTTATCAGAAAACACAGAACTCGAACTTAAAAAGTTCTTTATTGCGTCATCTCCGTTCGTTGATATAACTGTGGCAGTTGTAAATACGTCAACTCATTTGATTCAATGCAGCGCATATTCGGATATATTAATAAATTCATACACAGAAGCAGGCATCCTGGACTAACAGTGTGTGATATACAACATGGGACCCAATTCTTACTAAGGCTCGTCCAGAGAGCACACCTGTGGGAAGAGATCAAATCATTGCAGTCGAGAAGAGTAGTTAAATTGTCCAGTTCTATCGCATCACTTAACCCTTTTTGGACGATTTTGGCATGCTTAGAATTGATGGGCGCTCAGATAATTCTCCCGTGTTACCATCACAATCGGGGTTACACGCTGCTCCACGGGCAGTTCTTGCTCATATTCGGTTGCAGTATTGGCCAATTGGTGGAAGGAAGACCGTATCCATGGTCGTTGGAAAATGTGTGAGATGCTTTCGTGCCAAGCCTCCATTAGTGGAGCATATAATGGCTGTTGTGGCTATTGTAGACCATTTTTCTATAAGCCAGACGAACGAAATAAAGCTCCAGCTTCATTCTTGAATGCGCTTAAGAGGTTTATGTCGACTAGAGTCAGGCCATCTCAGATATGGTCGGATAACGCTACCAACTTTGTCGGCGCCAAGATCGAGCTTCTGGATCTCAAGCGTCTATTCATTCGTCTATTCATATTGATTCAGGGCATAAATTTCGCATGGCTAATTCCATTGATTGGAAATTTATACCGCCTCGTTCACCGCAATTTGGCGGCTATTGGGAAGCAGCAGTGAAGACAGCGCAGCATCATGTTTATCGTGCTGTTGGATCTTGTGTTCTCAACTTCGAATAGTTTCGCACCCTAGTCTGCCACATAGCATCGATAATTAATTCCAGACCATTGTTTCCTCTTGCAGAAGATCCGAAATTTTTATTGGTGGTCCCAGCTCATCTTTCGTTGAGCCTGATGTGACGCACCTTCAATTCAGTCGTCTGGATAGCTGGCAAAGCGTAACATACCTGCAACAAATGTTTTGGTCTAGTTATGCTCCAAATGGCGTACTCCGAAACAGGAGAAACGAGAAGAGCTGCAAACAAGCTGTGTCTATTGCCCATCTGAGAATCTGTTGAAAGCCCATGCCTTCCAACGGGGGGAGAATATCTGGCTATGCAGCCAAAACAACTGGAGCGACCTCGCAACTGATAAGAGAAGATCTTAATTTTATCTTATAATACTCGCTTTCTTAAGAATATATTTACATAGAACTGCCGCTCATCGCTGTAACGATCGTTTTATTGCCCTAGCTTTACTTATACGAAGGCCTCATCGAGTTAGTTAAGTTCGTTCGCTTCATGCATTTGGTACACATCGGCCACTTGCATTACTCAAAATAATAACTAATAATTGTCGCTTCACCAAATTTGGCACGTACCAATTCGGGTACGCTTGTCTATATAACACTATTGTTCTTAAATAAAAGGCACAGACCATTTCGGGTCTGCCTGCTTTTCGTAACTTTAAGAAATATAGAAACAAATTGGAACACAAGAAGTAAAATAAGGTTAATTATATCTATTTGTAAAATCTATTGAAAAAGCTCATTAGCGCAACAGTAGTTTTTCTGTTTCCCCATTTATAAACACTTATTTTTAAAAGGAAAGAAAAGATGGCTCAATATAAACTTAAATATTTAATTTATTTTTATTTTTATTTATATTATTTATTGCATTATTTTATACAAAATTGAGCAAATAGCATAATGTTTAAAGCCTAATCCACATAACAATTCCTCTGATTGATTTTCTATTTCAATTTTGTTTTATTATTGTTTATTCACCACTCACCAGAAATACTCCGAAAAAAAGAATCGAAATAACCGTGAGAAACCAGTTTGACCACATTGTATATTAGTGAGATACGCATTTAAAATAATGGACATTTTCAGCTGTCAACCAGCATAATTACAGTTTTTGGAACCTCAGTCGCCCCGAATTTTTCGTCTGATATTCAAAAAATATGGATAGTGCTCTCCGGTTCAGGCGTAAGAATAAATTTGGCACCACTATAACTGGTAGATAGCAGTTTGCGGGTATACAACCTGTCTTAGTTCAGGTTGATGAGACGTCTTAACATGGAAGGCTTTAGGGTCCTAGTCTGCAAACGAAAATACCGCATAGATCTTGGCAAACCCAAATGGACCGTTTGAATAGCTCGGTTTTAATGGACTTCGCTATAACCCTGACGATAAAGTTTACAAATTTTTAAATTTCAGTGTTCGACCTGATGGCTTCGCTCTTGCTCCAACCCTTCCAAACATGAGAGGCAGAAAGTTTAACCCTGCCGTGCTTATTATTTCATACGAGAAAAATAATTTATAGTGCACGATTTCAAGTGTGCAGTGTTCAGCAGTCAGTGGAGCCAGCAATCAAGGTAAAATACTACTAGCGGCGATCTACAGTCTCCAAAATTTCCCAGTCTATTCGATAAGTTTAATACGAATTTAGCCAGCCTAAGATTGGATGTTTCGAAAATTTCTGTGGACCTTCTTTATATCCCATGGCTATGCTCTTGCTCCAACCCTTTAAAAAATGAGAGGCAGAAAGCTTGGACCTGCCGTGCTTATTATTTCGTACGAGAAGTATCATTTATAGTGCACGATTTCAAGTGTGCAGTGTTCAGCAATCAGTGGAGCCAGCGATCAAGGTAAAATACTACTAGCGGCGATCTACAGTCCCCAAAATTCCCCAGTCTAATCGATAAGTTTGATACAAATTTAGCCAGCCTAAGATTGGATGTTTCGAAAATTTCTGTGGACCTTCTTTATATCCCATGGCTATAAGTAAGAAAGAGACATTACAGTACATTTTAAGCTACCGTCGAGTAGCCTCTCTGTCAAAGGAAACATTAAGTGAAGCTCATATCATCCCTTATGATGCTCTCGCATTTTCAAGATCATTATAATGATGACAGCATAAGCTCAAGACTCTATATGAATGCCATATAAAACTGTTTGTAATGACTGACTGACAGTCTGATTGGTAACCAATTAAGAAATTCGACCCGCAAGTGTACAAAAATAAAAAACGAATTATGAACTTTTTTTGTTTACCGTCCGATTGGCCATCAGCTCATTTTCAAAAATCTTTGCTTAAATTCATTTGAAAGGTCTACCACCATTTTTTTTTTTAAATCCATCGCTCCTTTGTAGAAATAAGAGTCAACGATTTTTTGAATAGAGTTTCAACATAAATTGATTTTTAAATATCTTAACAAAAGATATTCAGATTAAGATATGCGTCACACTATTCATAGATTTTAAGTTCCCTCGCTTCTAAATATTGTGTATCACATTTTTTGCTAAATATACTCTTCCTATATAATAATTGAGGGTCAAAAGTTAAATGGGTGAAGTTTCGGGTTTTGTGTGCTTAGCTACTATGGTGAAGTATGTTGTAAAATTATCTTAAAACATTTTACTTTGTTGTGTTAAGACCTTATCCTTTCCTGCCATATGAAAGGAATAATTTATCATTGCCCTTCATAAAAAGAATATAGTATAAAAGATGGCGGTCACTATTAAAGTTTTTCTAAATTCTCTGTTTTTCCTAAAGACTTTCAGAGAATCATAACATCCTAGCTATTAACCTTGCCTCTTCAAGTATTTTGTGCTTAAAATATTAAAACTAACATATTTATTTTAGTAAAGCTTCCTTGATTGCTTCAAAAGTTATTTTTTCTCGTGTTGCCAGTTAATATTCTTAATGCGCATTTTAGGCATTTATATTCAAATTGCATTCGGGTAAATTCTGAAATCCCAAGGAAGTAATCTACGATTCCTACTTTTTAATGATTGTCTTACACTGGCCTACTTATTGATGCCTATGATGTTAAGTAGTGCCCTGGTTTTTGTTCGATCCTTGGGTTACACAGTTTGCAATAGGATAGGATTGCGTATTGTATTATTTATTCGTAATCTTACCATAAAAAAAAGGTCTTCGTCATGTATTACGTGATACTCCTTTTCCTCTGCTATGGGTGCATTAAGTGATGATGTTGCTCCAAGTTCCACTTGGACTTGTGAAAGAGAATTTTCACTTATGTCGAAATTTAAATTTGATTCAACAAATTCGTTCGATTCAAAATCCAAAATATTACTGATATCAAAACTTTTTTTTTCTCTTTCATTAGTTTCAATGTTTCTGTGCGTGCTGACATCTTTTACTGCGTCGGCCATAAGATTATTAATATGATTCAGTGTTTCGTCATTATTATGTTCGAAATTTCTTACTGGTGTGTTATCAGCTTTTTTAAAGTCGCCAAAGTAATTATCTTTTGACTTTAAATCTTTATCATTAGCAATATATGCAATTAGTTGTGCTAATGCATCCGCTGAATCAAAACATGTTTTTAAATGCATATCATGAATTGAAGATCTCAGGTCTATCTTAGCGTGTGATTTACTCTTTTCATTAAGATGTATAGAAAAATTAAGTAATCCAACATTCAAAACGGGTACTAAGCCAGTTTCGCTAGTTTGAGTCATAAACTCCCCAACGTTGTTGGCAGCCTTGGCCTATAAGAAAGACGTATAGAAAGAAAATTATTTAAATCAAAAATACAATAATACCACATTACTTTAATTATATTTTGTATGATCGTTTTGTATATTTATTAGTTAGTTAGTTATTATAAAAAGTGCAAGTGACTCACAGCCCAGTATGGTCACATAACATCACAAGTCTGGGAACAATGTAGTATACATATGAAGTTTAACAAAGATAAGCAAGAGCCTAACGAAACAGAAAGAAAATAGTTTATGTTAAGCATGAAGGAGCAGCAGAACAGAAAATTCAATACGGCAAAAGAACAAAACATTGTCAATAGCAGCAACTAATAGCGATCGGCTGAGGCGCCTTGCTAACGCTGCAAAGTTGTCAATAAAATAGAGAATCTAGCATTCTAGCACTATTATTATGACAAGATAGTAAAAGGAATGTGCATACGTTTCGAAAGATATCTGGAAGTCATCGAATTTCAAAGACTCAAATGAAAACAACTGGAGCAGCTTTAAAGTCAAGTCAAATCATGCTCTGTTTAAATGCAGAACACCATCTAGTATAACGTTGTGGCACCTCTGAACACAATGATTTGGTTGTATTTGGCAACAGTATTATTGGTACTACTGGCGGAATGGTTGAGCGTTAAAATATGACCTAAAACGGGGCTTCGCCAGCACCTATGTTAACTAAAAATTCTTTCGGCCTGCTAATTTTATCCAAAGCACAACGTTTCGAATAGGCAAAGCAATCCAGCAGAAAAAATAAAAAGTAATAATATTGGTTGCGCTGTTTTTGTTATATTAGACTTATCAGTCTGGATACTTAACACTTCACTTTAGGAAATAACAACCGTTTTTTTTTTTTCAAAATAAATCTCAAAAACATGCCACCGAAAAATTTTGCATTGATAAATTATGTCTAGAATATAATGAAAGAAATGTGCGGATTAGCAAGTCGTCCCCTATGATATCTTTAAGTCGTTGAACGCCTTTTACTATTTTTATACACTGCACCAATTGAAAATGGGTACGAAGGGTAAAAAAGGGTATTTGTGCAAATGTTTGTAACAGGCAGAAGAAAGTATATCCGGCCCCATATGTAAGTTCTTTACCAGCATCAATAGTCGAAACGATCTAGCCATGTCCGTCTGTCTCTCCGTCCGTCTGTCCGTATGTATGAACGCAAGGATATCAGAACCTATAAGAGCTAGAGACTTGAAATTTTAGATGTAGGTGGTACTAGTGCCTGCGCAGATCGAGTTTGTTTCCGATAGTCGATAACTCACTCCGTCACAACCCCTAACAATACAATGTATGTATGTATGGTTAGTGGTCACAATCAATAAAATTCGATATTGACATCCCGTGTTTTGAGCAAATTGGGTAAATATAAAGAGCTAGAGTCTCCAAACTTGATATGCTTATTCTAGAATAGTATATATATATCAAGTATTTTTCATTGTGTACGTCATGGCTATAAATGAAGTAAATAACCCAACTTGTATTGCCCATCAATTTAACCCACCATTTGTATCCAATTTACTTTTTGAGGGAATACAGATATACACAAATATTCAGTATCGCAATTACAATTGTATTGTTTTCTGTGCTGCTATTTTAATTAGTTTTTTTTTTCTCATTATGACTTACTGATTGGTGGGGCGGTTGAGTAGAGGCGGTGGCAAGTAGTGCGGTTAGATGCGAGTTCAAACCCTGCTAAGGCAAATTGTTTTAAATTTATCATTATTATTTCAAACGAGCCCGTTGCGCGAGCTGCATTTGGTGTTGGAGTAAGAGGGTTCAAGGTATTCCCTTGTCGGAAGCTCCCGACTAGAAATTTTTACTTGTTTATTAAAAATAATAGATCATAAGAAACATCTTATTTCATTTTATTGATCTGCTGCATGATATTGAAAACGTTGGAAGAACCTTGTCATCTTATATCTTATACATTTCCCATAACATTACTCAGCTGCATCAGTTCTCGTGGCATCATTGTTCTCTTCGCAGTTCAACCATTAGCGCTTGCTTGTTTTGATTGTGTATTTTAGTGACAAGTTACACATACATAAGGTGGGTTGGGTTGGGTTCATGCTGTGCACCCAAATCCCAATGTACAGAAGGGACATAATAATAATCACTATGCAATAAAAATAGTTAAAGACGACCAACATGACAACAAATTAAGAGGACGGCGAAGTCGCTAAACGCGAGTTAATGGTGCGGCAGCCGAGCCAAGCGACGTGTGAAGGTGTAAGCTTTGTTATGAATGTTAGTATTATAAACACTTTCTGTTGTTAGTTTAACAAGAAACTCTTATGTATCTTATTTTAAGCATAAAACCCCTCACAAATTAATATTTTTTCTCATTAAATAGGCAACGTAGACTAGAGGGCGCCAGGTACATTAACCACTGCAGTGTTATTTTTCATCAGCACGCTTCTACAGGAATCATTCGATGATTATTGCCATTTCGTTTAGTTAGTTATACATTTTTAAATGTATTTGAAAAAAAAAAATATTTTTAATGAGTTTATTTTTATTTATTGATGAAGGTTGGCAGCCGTTTTAAATGTGTGTCGAGTGAAGTACCGAGGTATCGCTACTCAACGTCAAAATTGTTATGCTCTTACAGTATTTAAATTATGTATTGAAAACAAAGTTCAAAATCGTTTCTATCCACATTTTGGAAATATGGCGAGTCAATATTTGTATAATATAGGAAAAATAAATATTTCAAGTTTTTAGCTCTGTTAGATTCCGAAATTGATGCATATGACGGACAGAAAGACGGACATGGCAAAATTGAGTAACTTTGTCATCCTCGTCATCGATAATATATAAACTATATGGTGTCCTCTTCTGATTTAATTACTAAATATTGTTGACTCGTTAACTGGGATATTTGCAACGTAAGCGTTAACTTGCATATTTGAATAAATTTTGTCTGTAACCAGTACACGTTAAATATTGAGAAAATTATTATGACTTGCGCAATAAGTTGCGGACGTTCATAATTTCCCGCAAAATTAACCTCTTTTATATCGTCAGCTATGAAGCTGTTAGATTATACTGACCTTGGTAAATGCTGAAGCAAAATTTGTGGTGAACGGTTGTGTCGGATCGCGACTGGCGCAAAATCCGAGAACCTTTATTAAACAAATGCCAAAAGGGTAAGCATCTATTATACAGAACGGCTTTACGGATTGATTCCTTTTAATATTTGAAATATAACAGCTCGCAGTTAGTGTTGTGCTAAAATTTTAACGGCTATGTTATTCTGCTTGGCTATGCAGAAGCCAAAAAATAATATTTTGCCGTTGTCGGCGTCAATTTTCTTAAACAAACGTCCAGCTATGTCCGACGCGGCAAAGTCGAATAACAACGCCACCAGCTCGGCAAACGTTGATGAGGATGCCGGCGATCTCACACCGACGACAACGAAACCATGCAGCAATCACAACAACAACAGCAGCAAATTGAAATCAACCCGGAATACAGCGAAGGCGGCAGCATAGACAAACTTTCACCTAATCAGGACATTTTTATAAATGCCGTCGACGGTCTGCCCAGCCAACATCCGAAGTTGCCGCCGGAAGGCGATGTGGATACCGATACGGAGCCAGAGGTAGATGCTGATTCGTTTGATGATTCGCCAACATCCATCATTGTGACCAACATACATTCGGAGGTGTTTGCCAATCCTGATCTTAAGCATGCCATGGAGGTGGTGTTCCGCACTTTCAGCTAGTCGGCCACCTTCCAATGGCTGCGCAGCTTTCGCCGACTCCGGGTGAACTATGACAATGCCATTGCGGCAGCTATCGCACGCATCAAGCTGCATCAGCACGAGTTTAACAAAAAGACGGTGATCACCTGTTACTTTGCGCAACCGGTGACACCCGTTAGCAACAAGAATCTACAGCCACCGGCGCCGGTGAAACAGTTCCTTATCTCTCCACCCGCCTCGCCGCCAGCTGGTTGGGAACCGCGTGAAGAGGGTGAGCCGCTTGTCAATCACGATCTGCTCGCGGTCTTGGCCAGTCTAACACCCGGTGAATCGCACGAGCTACATCCACAGAGCGAGGATCAGCCGGCAATTATTGTGCACACCGCCATGGTGCCCGAGGGAGGAGGCGTAGGCACAGCACTACAACCAAAGGCGCAAATTGTACAAACCAAATGTCCGGAGCGCGCATAAGCGCCCAACTTGGAGCATGAAACGGAATGTAAAACGGCATGTGGAAGAGCCAGCACCAGGGCCCACCAGGCACCATCTATATAGAAGAGAGATCTCAGAAATGAATAGCTTAAACAGGTGGAATATGGGCACACAGCCAGCATGAATAGACAGCTGTGTAGCAGCCTGGTGGCTTAGAGTATTTTTTGTAAATAATTTCTAAAAAAAAATTCGATTGCGATTAATTTACACATAGCTATGTTTTATATTAAGTACTTATACTCTCTCGTTTGAAGCGGATTTAAGATTTGGTTTTCCTTTCCCATTTGATTTGTCTCGTGTGTCGCCGTCGAGAATTACCAAACATTAGCTTATCTTAATGTGAGCCAAGTGGAGCTGTTAATTCTAATTAATTTTAGATGTGTTTGTAGTTTGCATACGAAGTCGCGTTGCCTCTATCTCTTGGTGTTCGTTTCTATTTGTATCGATGTCAGCAATGTACTCGTTACTCATGGCTAGCCACAAAATCTAAATGTACCTTCATGCTAAATCACAACATAAAACACAAAAAATTAAAAACAGCAACTCTATATGTTTGCGAGTAGCTGCAAGAACTTTCCTCTCAAGATAACGACGATTCATAATTCCAAAGCCAGATACCGCAGGCATGCCTAAAAAACAAAGACCGTGCCAGTCGCCCAAATTTACGCACCCATTGATAAAAATATCTCTGCCTCACGACAAACCCTTGATCAGCTCATTCGCACACATTTGTGAGTGTGTATATGTGTGTGTGTAGAGCTCGAAATTCACAAATGCCAAAATCTTCAAATTTTGTCAAATTTGCATCGGGCAGGCAGGCAAGCAACCAACGCGCACACAAACGCATTAATGATTCCATCTATATAAAAAAGTGTGTTAGTGTGCGTGGTTGGCCGACCGAAAAAGTTATCATGCACACATGCCAGAGATCAGGTACCCTTACCCCTACAGCAAGCATGGAAAATATCAATTTTGCGCATGAACAGGCCAAACCCTTTAATAATTTCACACAACTGCTTACTTGAAAGAGTGTGCGTCAATTTTTGGTGTTTTCTTAAATTCTTCGACAAGCCGACGATGAATTACCCTTGCACAAATATGACTTTGATATTTTTGTATTTGCCATTTGGTATGTCTATACATTGTATGGTTAGTGGCAATATTGGTAAATATTAAGAGCTAGAGTCACCAAACTTGACATATAGCCTCTAAAATAAAATATATATATGCAATTGATGTTGGAAGAAGAGTGTTCAGGGTATCCCCTAGTCGGGAGCTCCCGACTAGAATCTCTTACTTTTTTTTATATGAATTTGGTAAAAAAAATACTGTCCTTAATATTTCATGTCGACAATATTATTGCGTTTATACTACATGGTATATTTATTGCTATTTTTTAAAATGTACTTACTGTTTGGCCAATTGCCAGAACACAATCTTCGCTTATCAGTCGTAAAGTACATCCGGTCATAGGATATATTATGTTGCTACTAAAGGAACAATACCCAATGTTAAGTAATGCCCGATAGGATAAGTATTTTGGCCTGCAATTTTAAATATAAAGACAAAAATAAAGTTATTATATTCTTTTTAATAATCAATCTACACAATAAAATGCTACGGATTTGTGTAATATGTGATTTTTTGAAAAGGAAAAATCGCATTATCAATACACTGCTTATAATTTATTATACCCTGAACCCATTTAATATGGGTATAAGGGTATATTCACTAACCAAACAACATCTGGTCCAAACTCGCGAGTAAGGGAGTAAGATATACATATGAACTATTTTTGAACCGATTACTCTACAGGAAAGTGGTAAGGGTACCCAAGCGTTGCCATTAGAATAGAATATTATATATATGACAAGTAACTTTAATTTTATCTATCGCTACCTCCCCGGTACCACCACAGAGCTATAAATCCGGTTAATAACCCAACTTTTATTGCCAACCAATTTAAGCCACAATTTAAATGCCATTGACTTTTTCAGAATATACAAATATTCTATGGTATAATAAGATATGCTGTAGAAAATTTCATAAAGATCGGTTAAGAAAAAATCAAAGTTATATGCAAATGCGCAATTGAATGGGGCAGCAGCTATAAGAATTTCTGTAAACATGTACACACACATTCATGCGCGTCTGCTTCGTATTCTAACAGCAAGTAATGCGGTCAGTTGTCGTTGTATTTGGCTACATCGCTGTTTTTGCAGGTATTTGTTCTAGAGGCTATGCTGTTGACTCTGCCGTTCACATTTTAACGAAACTTCTGGATATCTTTCTTGTTCTTGGTCTCCGCAGTATAACCATAGCCAGCATCGTATTGAATCTATTCAGAAGCATTTGGTCTTCCGTCGTTAACCAACCGTAGGATAATTCTCGGTGCTGTCCTTCTACATAAGTTGATTGTTTTCCTTTTCTCCTTTTCCGCTAAGGCGCCTTCAATTATCTGTTACGGATGGACCAACCAGAGACTATCGCCCCTTATTCCTATGGACGTGCACAACAGATTATGTTATGTACATTCTTTTCGGTTGTTATGCAAAGATTACACTAGTTTGTATTCTTCCTCAACCGAACTTTCCCTTCCCCTAATAAAATCGTTGCTTTCAGGATACTTTCGGAAACTCGCTGAGCATTCCCAGCTCAGAGTAGGGGCAAAGTTTGAAATAAATATAATTGTACACATGCATTATGCATCCTAAGTGACAAACTTAAAGAACACCTTAATAGAGTAAAAACTGAAAGAAAGACAAAAATTAAGGCAGGTCAAATAAAATAGCCGAGCATTACATCTTATAAAAAAGTACAACGAAAAAAGGTAACTGTACACAGTCCACCAAATCTTAACTTAAATCCTGTTGATGAAAACAAAATGATTTGTATGGAGGTCTTACAGAAATGACACTCATTATTTTAATGAGTAATAGCGTTACACCCCTATTTATTATAGTTTCATTACATACATATGACAAATCCTTCAATATATTAATCATCTATTTTCATGAACCCACCTTACACTGGATATCAGCAATAAGGTCGACGACTCGAGAGACGGCTAGTGAAGTAGCTAACTTATGTTTAAAGATATGTAAAATTCGTAGAGAATGCGTAATACGCTACTTATTTCCAAAAATAAAACCTTTGTAGTAAAAAATAGGTGACTATATACGAAATAATCCTTTAAATTAGTTTTTATGTAAGACACCACTTACATAATCTTAGGCGACCGGCACATACGAAAATTTTGTTTGCTCCAGATGTTACTGGCGAAAAAAACTAGGTCTACTGAATACTTGAGGTCGGTTAAAAGGGCCTCTGTAAAATTTGAATTCTTTGAAATCAACGCGTTCACATGTATGTTTTTCTGTATGGCTTTCTTTCATTTGACTGTTGCATTTACGCAAAACCATTGATATGGATTTATAAAGATAATATCCCAGAGTCTACTTTGCTGGCTTACGAAAAGTATAAATGTACGCAGATGACATGGTCCTCATAACGGAGACCCTACTTTAAGACATATTAAGACCCTACATTGTCACCATAAGAATGGTACGGGCGGAAATCGTTTTTTGGAACATTTGATTCTTCTGACGCAGAATAATACATAGAATTATCAAAGTTAACATACTAATTTTATTTTTATGAGGTTAAGAAAACGAAATGAAGTTAGAAAATCAATTATAGTTTAGATCTAATTAGAAACAACTCTGATTGTTAAAATGTTAGTAGAGGAGCAGATGAAGGAATAGGCTACAGAGAAGGTTTTCGCCTCACGGCGAAAATTACGAAAAAGGGGCGTGAGATACTAAGGTTGATTAGCAATTTCACTCTTTATTTGGCAAGCTTGAGTATTGGACATGTGGACGCAACAATTAGAAATATAATTAGCAAGACCGCAAGGCAGCTGGGAGGTTGGAGCAGGAGAAGTCAAGGGCTGATGGTGCGACAGGACCATAGAATTTGACAAAATAAATAGGAACGATTATAAAGTGTTTTCGAATTTATATTTCTGACAACAATTCGGCGATCGAACACCACCAGCACTCATCACGCTACACCTCACTAACATCCTTTCAGAAATGCGTCTCGGCAAACTACAAGCTTCTTGTAGAGTAGACCTGGAAGAACTGAGTTTTACAATCCCGGCTCAACCACCACTTTGCATTCTATATCGCATGCACTTTAAAAATATTTTTAAGTGGAAGTGGAGATCAAGATGATACGGGCAGATTTCAACTTATCAATAATTATACCCTGAAGCCATTTAAAATGGGGTATATTGTATTTGTGCAATTGATATGTTGTTTCTAGAATATTATAAATGTATATATCAAGTATCTTTTATTTTATATCTATCGACACCTCCCCGCTACCACCGCAGAGCTATAAATCAAGTTCATAATCTAACTTATATTGCCCACCAATTTAAGCTACAATTTTAATGCAATTGACTTTTTAAGAATACACAAATATTCTATGGATCGGTTAAGAAAAAGCTAAAGTTATGTTTTACTGCGCAATTGAATGGGTACAAATTTCAAGAATTTCTCTATACCTGTAGACACCCACATTCATGCGCGTCTGCTTTGAATTACATATTCCAAAACAATTGCAATTGCGATTGTTTTTGTGCTGCTATTCCAAATGGTTTTTTTTTCCTGAATAATACTTAATTATTGGTGTGGCTGTTGAGTATCAATTGTTGTCGAAAAGAGAAAGAAAGGTGGATTATTGTAAATTATACAAAGGCTCAAGACCAAGTACTTGTACATAAGTAAGGTACACGGATACATACAAACGCACATTGCATGCCATCTGTAGTCATTTACGTTCGATCAAAAGACGCTTCCTACCCTACACAATTCATACACAATTGCGTTGACAACGCAATTCTCGATCACCTCGTTACGAACAAACTATTCCCAATGACCAGTCGAAAGTGGGACGATCAACTCGATTATGCATTCAATACGATATGGAGTGATTGCGAAACAGTTTTGAACCGTAGGATCAGCATTTGTCTGCTGAAGCATCAGCTAATGTTTCATCCGATGGCTCCAATTTGGGGTTAAAAGTTGTTTCCAAAAATAGTAATCGAGGCTCATTTTCGTTATTCAGTAACTAGTCTAAGAAATCGCTCTGCAGCAGGAGAAGTGGTGATTTCGTTCTGGTTAAAGCTAAAGTTGGTCACAAATTAATTATGTAGCAGACGAACTAGCACAACGATTGCAGCAGCGTAGAGAAAAGGCTAGAATCAGCGTACTTAGAAATGCTCAATGCAATATTCAAGGAAAAAAGAAGATCCATATAGTGGTGAAATAGCGAATCAATTGCATAGAGTTCTCGTTAGATCTTTGGATCGCCTTTGCTTGTACTTAAGGATATTCATTAAGGATTTCTCAACAATCGCAAAACCTTTATATGATTTGTTGAGAAAAGACAAAATACTTGTTTGGGGAAAACGGGCTAAGATGTTTTGTGTATCTTAAGGAGAGATTGTTGAAAGCACCGGTGCTATCGATTTATGATCTCAGAGATGATATTGAATTGCATTGCGATGCCTTAGGATTTGGAGCAGTATTGATGCAGAAGAAACAAGATGGCAGATTGCATCCGAAATTTTATTTTTCAAAGCGAACAACTGAGACGGAAGTGAAATACCACAGCATTGAGCTGGATACCTTACATTACGAAGATTCGGGATATACGTGCTAGGAAGGCGGTTTAAAATCATAACTGATTGTAATTCACTGACACTGACTTTTTACAAGATTGACCTTAATCCCAGAATTGCAAGATGGGCGTTAAAGCTACAAGAAATCGACTATGAGATAGTACATAGATCTGGTAAGCAAATGCCACACGTTGATGCATTGTCGAGATGTCATAACACGATTACGATAACGGGAGCAAACAAAAGACGAGTAAACAAGGGATATTAGGAAATTTTTAAAAGTAGGTCGGCTTAAATTGTATGAAATGAGAAATGGAGTAAAATAAAGAAAGACGAATGAGAAAAGATTACTTTTCTATGTGTTATAAGAGATGGAGGACAACGTGTTATATAAATACCATGACGAACTGAGGCATATTGGTAGGGACAACATGTTATACGCATGGAAAAACATACTGGTTCCCGAACATGAAAAGAAAAGTCACATCGAAAACTGTTTAAGTTGTATAGCATTTCCACCTAAGACAGAAAAAGGAGATGGACTATTGCACAGCATACCAAAGGGCACCAAACCTTATGAATTAGCCCATTAAGATCATTACGGACTGGTTGACAACAGCAGTTGTAGATGGGTTCACAAAATTTGTTAGATTTTATACAACAAAGACAACCAACAGCATGGAAGTTATCGGAGCATTGAAAGATTACTTTCGAATTTACAGTAGCTCAAATTGCATAATAATTGATCGAGGAAGCTGTTTCACATCAGCCGAATTTGAAGAATTTTTAGAGCAATTAAACGTGAAACATATTAAGATAGCAACAGGCTCGCCGCAAGCCAATGAAAGAATACACTTTGAATAACAATAACAACAATAGCACCAAGTTTTTTCATAGCACAATGTTATTTGGGTTACCACAAAAAAGAAAAATTATTGACGAGCTATGTGAAAAGTTAGAGGACACCAAAATATTAGAAGCATCAGACGAGCGAAACTTAGAAGATATTAGAAAAAAAGTGCAGCACTAGATTGAGGAGTGCTATTTAAATGAGCTACAATTTTTGTGAATTTCTTACGAAATTTAATCGGAATCCCTATTATAACTCTAGTAAATTTCCAAGCTGGAATATTGTTTTTCCTGTAATGGGTAAAAATAATAGAAACAAAATGCCCAGGAAATTGGGCGACTGTTAGTTCGCAGATTCAAAGCTATTCGCATTTAACATTTCATGAAAAGGGGTGCTACTCAAGAAAGCGGGAGTGTATATGCCAAAAAAAAACATTGATAGAAGATAGAGTTCTGGCATATTTATAAACTGCTTAACAGCTTAATGTAGAATATATATGTGATCACTATTAAAATCATTCAGAAAATTGAGCATGACAAAAAAAAAATGTTAGCAAATTTAACATTTGATTTTAGTGGTTGAGTGCTATTTTGATTTCCAAAGTTTTCCGGATGATTTTCAATCCTTGCATTACTATTAGTAGTTACTGATGATATGTGATTTTTTTGTCCATGCCATTTTTATGATTCTGTCTATTACGACCTATGGTAAATAGTACTATTGCTATTGTCATTTTTTGGATTCGTCTTTGGCTTTCACTTATATTATTCTTATCGTCGTCCGGTTATGTTTATGTAATACAAAAAACCGCCATGATTTGTTGTCAATGAATGTAATGAAATATCTATACCCACTTTGGAAAGCTCTATCAAGTCTCTGACTTACATAGTCTCAAAATTCGACGAATTCATATATACGGACAACTTGGCTGAGAAACTATTTATTATACCCTGAACCCATTAAAAATGGGTATAAGGGTATATTGTATTTGTGCAAAATCCAAATGTATGTAACAGGCAGAAGGAAGCATCTCCGACCACATAAAGTATATATATTCTTGATCAGCACCAATAGCTGAGTCGATCTAGCCATGTCCGTCACGATTTGAAGCGGTAAACTTTATAATTTAAAGCTTCACGGAGATCATCAAAATTCAAAATTATAGAATAACCGAATGGCCACCCCAGCAGCAGACATATTAATTAAATATTCACAAGTAGGTATACGATTTTACGATTGTATAGATTTTCACACTTTATCTAACATGGATAAACATTGAAAAAAACCAATTTACTTACGTATATTCTAATGCCAAATTCCATATATGGCCCTGAATTTCCGACACAAGCGCGTATGGCTCATATGCTTCAATAGGATAGTCCTGCAAATATTAAATACTTTATTGGTTTTTTATTATTATATTCTTATGTAGTTTAGCTAAAAAATTTGAGGAAGATAAATGTTTTTCGAACCTCTCAAAACGTAAGAAAAATTTTCTTGTCTTTATTTTTGGAGTTCAACCGAAATAAGCACAACTTTGGACATTATCAGTGAGCTTACTCACATAAACTGAACACTTTATCTGACGCCCTTTTCTAATATTAATTGTGCTAAAAAAATATGCATTCATACAGTCAGGTAGCGGGCAGCAAGACCAATATATTCACCATTCACCACCATTGAAAATGGGTAAAATATGTTAAATTGGTTTGGTGCAAATGTATTTAACAGGCTGACTTAAAGTATATGTATACATTAATGTTTATTTTTCACTGGTTGTTTGGTAATTCTTTTTTTTTTAAGTAAAATCTATGTTCCACAGCTATTCTTACCACCACAGGTAGATGAAACAGATATCGGATAGATAACAAAGTTAGCTGTAACTGACAACCTTCAATTGTCGGATCATAACAACGAACTTTGCCCTTCGTATATCTTCACATGTACGTAATGATGTCAATACCTAAAAAGAAATCCTTTGCAAGGAAATCGAGCTGCGAAAAAAGGCTTTTGAAGTCTTCAAACGCAACAGCTTCTCTCACCAGTGCCAGGGCAAAGAAAGTCCTTTTGTCGAAAACTGTTATGGGACCGGTTCGATATTAGACAATAGTTCGTAGAATAGGTGGAAACGACTGAAGGACCGTGCCCTCTCTCAGCTGAGCTCGCAAAGCTGACAACAGCGATCTATTATTTCTACGCATAAAAGGATCGAGCTAATTGGGTCTGGTCTCAGGAACCTGGAACTCAGAACACATAGGCAGTACAGTGCCGGTAAGCCCGCAACCCAACAGCCGCCCAAAGCAGCCACTGGTACAGCATCAGCAAGCAGTGTGCGGGTTTCAACCCGATTGGCCATTTGTAGCAACTTACATTATCCCAACTTAATCCACGCTCTTAGCGTGGTACAGGCTCGTTTGTAGAACCCTATCCGTGATAGTATTCTGCGTATCTACAAATCTCTCATCAATTGTGAGCCATCTCATCTGCTGTGGCATGCTAGCAGCTGGCAGACTATCGACGACAACACGCTGTCAGATGGTGGTATAGTAGAATCTTCTGGCAGTAGACGAACTTACTGATTGGGCCATAGCGTATTTTTAATAACCTATAAGCCTCCACTATTTGCGTCACTCCGCTGCCTCAGTGTAGGCTCTGCTTGGAAACAGACGAATCAACTATGCAATGTCTCTGTGAATTTCGTGCTATTACTTGGGATAGGTGAAAGCATTTAGGCTAATAGTGTGACTGTGCCACAGGTCTTGTATATTTTTAGATCCCTGCAAGTCGTACTAATTGAAAATTGTGCGTGAAACCAACAAAAACCATGCACCCCATGCACAAATTTAAATTTTAGCGAATTCTGTTCACTAAAAAACAGTGAGTGCACCCCAGGTCTTGTATATTTTAAGTTCCCTGCAAGTCGTACTCATTGAAAATAGTGCGAGAAACCAACAAAAACCACTAAAACACAAGTCAAAACAAAAGTGCAAAAACACAGCAATAACAAGTAACCAAACAAATAAAAATTATGGAGCCAGGGCAAAAACCACCACTGTACTTGGAAAAATCAGAGAGGTAATCGCCAGAACCACCCAGGAGCTAAGCGCGTTCATACGACGCATAAACTGAATAATGCAGCTGCATCCAACTGACGAGCCCCGTCACCAACTCGTTTTGTTCTGTGCCATTGAAATGCAGATAAAAGGAGATGCCCAAAGGACTTTACAAATGAAAGCTGTCAACAACTAGGACGGACCCTGATCGACAAATTTAAAATACAAGCCCTTTGTGGAGAAATACTAAGCCGATTGTACAAAACCCCTTTTAATGGAAGCATCTGCAAGTTCATAGAAGAAGTAGAGTTTAAGTCCCACAATATTGAATACATATTAACGCTAGAAGGTATTCAGATGAATTCAATATTATACACTTATGCAATTCATAATACAATAAAAAATGTAAAAATGCGCGAACTTCCAGACTTTTCATGACCTTAGCAAGGCATGATATTACCACTATAACTAAGTTAAAACAAGTAGCTCAGCAAGAACGAGTCTATGAAACCTCACTAATAGTCTGTCAACTTCACAAGGGAAATAAAAATCAAAATTTTAAAAATGTGGCAAGCCCTAAAACTAATAACACATATTCAAAACCTTCGAATCGCACAGACTATCATTAGCATCAAGAGCTCAAACGAAATTTGGACCAAGATAGAATGCAAAACCCCATAACCAACCCCACAACCAACAATGGCAGACGTCATCTAATGCTTATAATCTTTCCATAAGTTGACAGCAAAGACAGGCTATCATTTGCATCAAGAGTTCCAACGAAGTTTGGACCAAGATAGAGTGCAAAACCCAATAACCAACCTCAATATCAACAATGGTATACGTTATCTAATGCTCCCAATCTATCCATAGGTAGACAGCGAAGATACTGACAATTTTCCTCAAGTTGGTTCGGACGCTCAATTTAAAGATGAAGGGGCAACCCATACTTAATTATAACAATGAATAATATTCAACTTAAGCGCGTAATCGATACGGAATCATTGGTTAACATAATGAAACTAAACTTTTTAAATTTCCCAATTATATAGTACAATTAATGCAAAATAAATCCAATAAATAAATTGCAATTTGCAATGCGCTATAATCATGAACAAGAACTCGAGGACAACTTAAAGACTTGATCCACCATCGTCAAACGAAGAGCCGTTTAAATTTCAATGAACAATGAACTAACAAGTAAGAGGTTGTAGTCCAAATTAAAAAAAAACAATATACCCTGTTTATCCGTTTTTAATGGGTTCAGGGTTGTGAGGCGACCACTGAGGTAGCCACCCCACATAATTATAACTTAAGGGTATAAGTATATATTAGTATTAAGAACAGTTAAGGCAAGGTGCCGATGTATTGAAACTAGTTAAGGGCAAGGAGCCCAGTTTGAATAAAGTTTGATTTTAACCGTTGTTGTCTGTTGTCTGTTGCTCAACACCGCCTTTGAGAGCGCAACTTCAATTAGGTGGCGTTGAGCGAAAGCTCCGAGGCGAAGTTGCAAAAGCTCGCGGCGAAATTGAGCAACCGAGGCGAACGCACGGCTCGCTAACGAGCGTGCCGGCACTTTTGGAAAGACTAACAGTGTGAGTAGACGTGCAGTGAAGAGAAGTATGAGTGACGAACTGCAAAGAGTGCAGCAAAGCGCTAGGGCTCCAAGACAGTACAGTGGGGTCTTAGTTCAGAAAACACAGTAGGGCAGTATTACTGAACAAGTGAATATAAGGAAAACGATGAAGGAAATTGCTGCTCATTGTGAATACCCGAGAATCGGGTGGTCATATTTGTGCTAACATCGGGAATAGCCGATATTCGCGCTAACCTAGAGTAGTAGCTTGTGCTGCGAGGCTACGGCCCGATAGCGTAGTTGATACGTGGCTACGGCCCGATGTGGCGAGTGGCGTGTTGGTGGTCGAATTGGTGCGTGGCGGGTAATGCAGTTGGTGCAAGACTACGTCCCGATAAAAGTTAATTTTTTTTAACATTTTTCTGTTATTATATGAATCAAAAATAACATACATTCTTATTACAACACAGTTGGCTCCTTATTTCACCAATTGGGTCCTCAAGCTTTATCGTCGACAAATGTCAACGGCGTATTCTTTGGGTAAAGCTGCATCGTCACGTAGGTAGTCGGGGACTTTGGGGCGTCTCCTATGACATGGTTGGAGGAGGTCCTCGAACCATATGCTCTGGAGCCTCCTGACTGCACACCTCTCAATTAGGCCTTGCTGCAAGCGTTCGTTGTACAGGTTGGCGAATGATCCGACTTGGCTGTCAGTAGTCTTAATTTAGAGGTCTTTGTTCAAGGTAGAGTTTCTGACGTCTCAGTCAGTACCAGTCATTCGACCCAAAGCCAAGTTTTGGAGTGTTTGAATCCGTCTTCGATTTGTCCGAGACGATATACCCTAAACCTGGATTCAGCCATTTGCAGCGAAGTGGCAATGGGCTGTTGGAGTTTAGTAGCAAGTTGGCCTTGGCCAATGTATTCCTGCGTCCTATCAGTGACTTCGTACTCACAGAGGGCGAAGTAAAATATTGCCACGTCATCGGCAAATGTGGCCATCAAGTGATTGCCTGTTGTGGCAAACTCATGTAGGTCATCCGGAGTGGGGATGTCTGCCGTGTACGAAGTGTAGAGGAAGGGGCCCAGTACGCTGCGTTGAGGGCCACCCGCCTTTATATTGAGAACAGAAGAGATTGCTGTCCTGACGCACTCTTCGAACTTTTACTCCATTAGATAACAGCGCAGAAGTAGAAAGAACGGGGGCGGGAAGACTCACCTTAATTTTCTGGAGCAATCCTTTAATCCAGACTCGGTCGAAGGCCTGCTTAACGTCTACAAAGACTCCAAGGCAAATCTTTTTCATCGTAAGCCTTAAGAAAACGGTTAGTCACTCTTAGCACCTGAACCCAAATTGGTAATCAGGAAGAAGGGCCACTTGATCCACAAGCCTTGCAAGTTGGGCAAATATCAGTCTTTCCCAGACCGACAAGGAAGGCAGGAGACTGATCAGCCGATATGACTCAGTGTCATATTCTGTTTTGCCCGAATTATGGATCATATGGATCCTTGCTAACTTCCACTGGGCGGGAAAGTGTTGCATCCTTATTATGGCATTAAAGATCAACATTATAAAAAGAAGCGCGCGCATTGGCAGGGCCTTCAGAGTGCTGGGAAATGCGATAGGCTGTTAGCTACTTGAAGGCCGCGCGCATTCCTGCTCTTTGCTAGTGATGTGCATTCGAGTCTCCTTCCACCAAATATCTGCTTCCAGCCGAGTTGAGTTTGACGTAGAAGTCATCATTCGACGTCTGCTCACTAGGCTTGTAAGAAACCGCTCCAAAGTCCACGCTACCAGCATAAGTGGAGACATTCATGGTCGGATATTGGCAAACACGAGTATCAACGCTCAATTGCGGGAAGTGAACCAAATTACTCCGTAGCAGTATTATTCCGATAGCGTGTGTTTGTACTAAGACCTCCAATTGTATTTCACATGAAATGCCGTTGGCATTCCAAATTATCACCTTCAGTGGTGTGTTCATTTGGATAGCAATGCGGTCAAAAGGGTATGGATTTGCTATTGCACACCAAAAACCAAATGTACAAAACGTGGCTGTGTGCCCGTACGCCTGACATATATGGCATTGCAGCACATCCAAGCTTCTTCAAGCAGTCTCCGCCTTGAGCACGTGATGCACAGCTTCCTGATGGTAAGAGCCTCCGTGTTGTTGGCGCCGCCGGCTTCAAGTTAATGAAGTGGATGTTAATGGGCTTCTTAGTGGCTTTACGGTTCAGATTGTGCACATGGAGAGGGGTGTGATCCTGGCTCTGCAGGTTGAGTGGATGATGACTATGATGACTATGCGGTAGGGCTTCTTCTCATGCAGCTGGTATGAATAGAATTCGACTTTTTGTTCTTCCTGTTTTTTTATGATGGCCCTGCATGTGGGCACATAATGGGTTTTGAGTCGCTAGGAGGCTGACCTACGTTGGACCTGATGGTTATATTTTCCAGATCCACTACTTTAGATAGTATGAGCCACACGTCGTTGATGTCATCAATGTCATTTAGGACGGTGGGGGGTGGCTTCTATCTTCCAGAGGGGGCGTTGTTCTTCGTCCTTTCTTCGGGCACGGAGGAAGGCTTACTCCCTCAACCTGAGAAGTCGCTGTGGTAGGCAAATTCTCTACTTGGGCTGAACATATCTGCTCGGCCTCAGATTTATCAGTCTCCATGTCTTCATCGTTTTTAAGTGTCGCCAAGAGAGAGTTTGTTTTGATAGTATGTATTTGAACTGGACTGGTGTCAGTATTGTTCTGTTTTCGCCGCGCAGTAGATGGGGACCTGCAGGCTAAGACTTTGCGCTTATCGTTCTTTATTTGCCTGTTATAGAATCAGGCGAGCCGAAGCTACAGCGGGTGAATTGGGTTTGATTATATCTATTATGTGTACCAGGGCGTTAACGGGGTCTTCAATTGACTTTAGCACCAGCATGTGGACTGCTGCCGGGGTAGTCGGAGACCAAGTCGTGCGGCTGTTAAGCATCCTTGCGTTCATACATACGGACAGACGGTCAGACGGACGGGGGGACGGGCAGACAGAATTGAATTTTACAAGCAGTCTCAAACATGTCATACAAATTAGGCAAGACGACCCTATATATAAATAAATTAGAGGTTCTAGTCGGGAGCTCCCGACTAGGGGATACCCTGAACCTTCCTCTTCCAACATTAAATGCATATATATATTCTATTTTAGAAGCTATATGTCAAGTTTGGTGACTCTAGCTCTTGTTATTTACCAAAATTGCCCAAAAAACAGGATATCGATATCGACTTTTATCGATTGCTTTGAAACGGAATAAGTTATCGATTATCAGGAACTCGATCTGCGCGGGCACTAGGAACACCTACAGCTAAAATTTCAAGTCTCTAGCTCTTATGGGTTCTGAGATCATTGCGTTCATACATACGGACAGACGGACAGACAGACAGACGGACATGGCTAGATCGACTCGGCTATTGGTGCTGATCAAGAATATATATACTTTATGGGGTTGGAGATGCTTCCTTCTGCCTGTTACAAACATTTGGACACAAATACAATATGCCCTTATACCCATTATTAATGGGTTCAGGGTGTAAAAACCTTCTGAGTGCGTTGAAACATGCGACCAATAAGTTGGGATAATTCGAGAGTCGAAGTCACCTTACTTTTCGGATCAGGCAAACAACAATACCCTTAATCAAGTCAGAGTTGAAGACAAATACCAAATCCTTGCAATTGATGGTACATTGACGTCGCGAAGGGCTGTTACCAGATACAAATGGATGTAAGCTCAATTCCAAAGGACAAAGGACGACATGTATAGTGAACAATAAGTCTTATATCATTAGCTGTTGACTGGTTCGAGAGGCAAGTTGTCTATTTGAGAAGAGCTTCTATAGAATGTTAAAACCTATTATTTATATTAATTAAGACCTAAAAGATTAACCTAAACACAAGTGTAAAATGCATCAATGTCGGCTTGAAATAGATTTAAAAAAGCTATAAAGGATATGGGGAAATTATCGGTAAAATACCTATGCTTCGAGAACCTATTTATAGAACACATTTTAATAACTTTAAAGACTTGTGCTTCATAAGGGAATTTAAGGAAAGGTCAGTGTCTGCACAATTGTACAGTTCGGATTATTTAACTTGCTGAATAAGATCGTTAAGCATATAGAAAAAAGCCTTACGAAATCAGCATGATTTTATTCTGTGTAATAAACGAGAGCTAAGAAAGAGCTCAGAAAGTTGGGACTTTAACGCCGCACATCTCCAACTGTATGTGAATAAACTAATACTACTGATAAGCATTTGTAAAGATGAAATTAAAACTATTTTGTATACTTTCTCATTCGGGGACTCAAAAATCGAAAAGGTCGATTATTATCAATAAATTTTGCGGGAAGCAAGTTTTAAGGTCTTATTGGCCCGCGAAGTAAATTTGGTGCTCCAAATATTAAAATCCAAAATTTTCCGCTAAGTAAGGCTTAAATCAAAATTTTGTTTGGATCAAAAATAAGCGTGGTATGTTAAGCATTTAATTTTTAAGGAAAGTAGCGTCAGAAAACTTTGCATCGAAGAAATGGCTCAAAAGCTTTACATTTTTTATGCAAAACTACCAGAGAATCACCAATCTTGAGCCCTCTTCTTCCATAACCATAAGCAGCTCGCTGGACAAGCTTTAGCCCACCGGCTACAATAGAAATTGAGGAAGATTTCAAACTAATTATCTACGAAACTTGCTTTTAAAAACACGATTTTTAATCGATTGCATATAAACGGTGGATGTTAGCGATAATTTTAAATTAAATCGATTGTACGTGTATTGTGAAGTGGTTAGTTCCTTAAGTTCGAATTTGATTAACTCTTGTTGATTTCAGTTATCAAGACGAGTCTCCGCCTAATAGGGGTGAATCAGTATGACCTGATTCACAATGGTAAAAAATAAAATGTCCAGCCAAGAAGGATAGTCGCCTAATAGGAGTCTTCGTAAGGATATTTTTTAGTATATTAGGAAATTTTAAATTAATGTATCAAAAGACGTAATCCTGGCTAAGTCGGAAATACCTTTTAAAGAGATATCAACTTTTAATTTTACTTACATTTTCATAAAATCATTCTCCCTTTCTTATTAAAAAAATCATTTATAAAGCTATAATAAAATTCTACGTGAACATTTTCCACTAAAAATTCAAGATGCTATAAAGATTTCGCTCGCCTTTGACTTCATCAAGACAAATTGAAGAGAAGAGAATATTCAACATTTAAACCAAGGGTAAAAAAAAGGTACTTACTGTTATATTTAAAAAATCCAGTAGTTGATAAATCCAATTATGTATTGAGAGTACTGGTTTATGCAATACATTGACTCCATTTATTCCAAACGCTAGCTTTATTCTCTATAAAAAAGAAGGGTTAATAGTTTTTTTTTTTATATTTGATTTTTCCTTTTTTCATCTTATATAAATTTCTAATTTAAAAAAAAAAAAGTAATGTTTATGATTGTAAAAATTTGTTATAATATGCATGCATAAATACACTATAGACATTGTAACATTAGTTTATAAGAACGAATGAACAGATATAGATGGATAGGGAAGCAGATATCAGCAAGTAACAATCGGTTTCGTTCAATTTAAACACGAATTGTAGCACGGCCACACGGCCAATCTTCAGCAGGACCAGGAGAAGATCACCTATAAGTCGAGTAAGTCTCTTTCAGGAAGTGAAACATATATTTAAAAATTGAAAAGAAACAAATATAAGAATAATTTATTCGTTTACTTGAACGGGAAGTGAACACATCCAATGTTATTACGTTTAGTAAGACGCTTAACAAAAGATACGAGAAATATTGGCTATCTTCGGCACGCCGAAGATTTAATACGTTTGCAGACCCAGCCTTTTCATAATGCTCATAGTGCTTTGCCCTTTTCTACGGAGCGAAATATTTAATGCCGAGTATGGTTAAAATATCTTGGAAAAAAAAAGTTTTTTATACCAGAGCCTCATTTTCGACCAAACGTTCCTATGGCACCTATTAGTAATCCGATATAAACAAGATTTTTCAAAAACAAAGTGATACTTATAGGTTGCTGAGGTTGCTCACGGTATCTCGAAAAAGAAAATTAAGGGAGCATAGTGAAACTTATAAATGCTCAAGATATCTATTAAAACAAAAAGTGTTCTATACATCATCTTAATTTTCGACCGATCGATCCTATGGCAGCTATATGATATACAGGCCCGATGAGATACAATTTTGCATAAATTTAGGGAACATACTGAAATTTAAAAAGACTGAAAAGTGGCCTTAAAAACATGCATGGTGTCATAACCTTATATGCAAGGCATAACTTCATTGAGACATTGCTGATGTAAAGAGAATAGCATAGCGGGCCAGGATAGCTACCGTGGACCAACCTTTTGGGTTCTGTTACGCAAATTCTCTGAGCTCCAGTTCAGGCTGGTAAGCCCAGAAGGCATAATTTATGAAGCAGTAAGGAGTGATTGACAGAGTCGACATCGGATTTACTCCCTTTCCTTTGGGAAGGAACAACAATACATTTTTTCCGAATGTTCGGGAAAGGTGAAGTGTTGACAGACATTATCTTAAGTTTTAAGACAGGTTTACATAGTACTGTAGCACAGTAGGTGAGTATATTGGATAAAATATTCCTCTCATAGGCAAACTTAAACTTTTCTTGTGCATGGCGCTTGTACTTTTGACAATATAAAGGCCTTAACAACTAGAAAGTGAAATGAGGGGCAAGCCTGGAAATATGTTTCCTTGGTGGAAGGCCTAAATGAGGCTTAGTCACTAAAGGGTGATAATGGGAGCACTATCAGCTGTATTTCTCTAAGATAGCCGGTAGTCCGGATAAAACAATTGGTTTTTTTTCGTACTGTCACATATTGCGGAATTAAACTAATGTCACAGCAGACCTCACATTGACCAGAGTTACAAAAGAGATGAGCTGCTGCGTGGTCGTGGTAGTAGGGTGCTAAATTGCAGTCGGAAGCCAAAGGTATTCGGCACCGAAAAGTCACGAAGAGTGGACTTTTAATACTGGAGACAATTTTAGGTCGTTGAATTAAATATCCAGGGTTGTCAGCGGTTGTTTATGAAAACCAGCAATTAAACCCATAAAACCAGCATTTCCCCATCAATTGCACTACACGAGTGGCAACTAAGTATCTTTATGAAACTTTGATGAAGTCCCTCTTTCTGTTGCACGCAGCATATATCATATAGTTGCCATAGGAACGATCGATCGAAAATTTAGTTCCTATATGAAAAACATTTTTGTTCATCAAGATATCTTGCCCAAACTCGGTATTAACTATTTTCCTGTGCTTTTTAGATACAGGCAAAGCACTATAAGCATTATGAAAAGGTTGGGTCTACAAGGTATTCGGCGTGCTCCAGCCAAAACTCTTAACAAGTCATATTCCCAATGGCAGTTATGTCGAACCGCTAATTTAATAAAGTTATGCCGTGCATATAAGGATATAGAGTTCTGAAATCTTTTACGAGCAAGCAGTGAATCAGTGAGTCAAGTTAACGTATTAACTACATATAAACTGTTCTAAAAGCAAGGTTTTATCTTCCCCTGAAATGTTGCTCATATGTGTTTTTACCAACCTTGGACTTTTATTTCTGATCATAATTAGTTTGACTGTCATCCCACCACACATTTATTACGGTGGCGAGCATAAGATAGCCATTATTGATTAATATGTATATATAGCCTATATCAGATAAAATTATCCTGCATAGGATGGCTGTGGGTGAATCCTTTATTTTAACTGTCAGAGTTGGGCCTTCTTCAAAAAGTCACAACTAAAAAAAATTGTCTAGCATTTGAGTGAGTTTTTTTTATTTCACACCAACATGAACGCAAAAGTAAATACCTTATCAGATAATAGCTAATTTTCGCAATCGTCGCCAAGTGTCAGTTATGCTTTAACATTGCGTGAAGAATGCCTCGATAAGGCACGCTACAAGCAACGATCCAAAGTGGCTTTTCGCCTAATCTAAAGTTTTTGAATTAGCGGACAACCTGGGTTAATATCTCCAGACGTGTTTTGTTGACTTATATGGTTTATGCCAACTAGCTTCAGACTCTCTTAAAAATGCAAAACTTACTACCACAAATGTTTGCCAGACGCAAATTAAATGAGCCGGAATGCTTTTTCAATAAATCACCCACATCCATAATAATAAAAAATAATAAAAAGTAATGTTATTTTAGATAAAATCGGCGATTTTAAAATAAAATTAATAATATAACCGTATATAAGTAAGTTTTCAAATGGTATACACAGAGATTTAAATTTTACAAGCTCCCGTTTTCCCGACTTTTAGAATTATTTAAGCACCATTGATGTTATTCTTTCTCATAGTTTGGGAATAACTGAAGAAGAATCAGAATAGTTGTATAAAGTGCACACAGCGCGGCATGCGAGTCTGTGTAGATTATGTAGCCGATCCTAATGTAGACACTAAACCAGAAGTTAATACACAGTTTCACCAAAATATCCGTATAAAATAAATAGGGTCGATCATAACGATAGTTACGAAATGGTAGATCTAATAGTGTATTTATGCATGGGGATTGTAAAACTCTGTTGCAATCTTAATTATATCCATTGACAACAATGGATATACACAAACGAAACAGAACATAAGCGCAAGTAAGTGACCCGATCAGTTCTAATATGATCAGCCACTTAACGGGCAGCATCTTATGCCGTCTTACGGGATAAGCGCTGACCATGATACCCACCGGCGAATGCCCGGAAGCGCTATGTACACGCGCACTAATACTTTAATGCAACTATATATGTATGAGTACATTCTCCCCCTTAGACTATGTCAGTCTTGACATAATTGTGCTAAGTTAAGTTCGTAATTTAAAATAAGCTCATTTGAGTTGAATTAAGCACATTCAGAAAACTAATACCAACGACTTGACTTCTAACATGGCGACCGTGACAGGACTGTGAAAAAAAAAACAGAAAGGAGCACCCACAAAACAAACTAACATTTCGATACGAATCACGTAAGACAAAAGCAGTAAACGGGTTAAAAAGGGCACCGCAGACGAATCCGTCAGGCTGAATTGAAACATTGAAAAACAGCCGTGAAACTTTTTTCTGAGAATGAGCATCTAGAGGTAGTCCAGTAAGTCCTAAAAGAAAGCACTTACTCAATCATTTAATTTCCTATTTGTCTGCAAGAATAAAAAACTCTCAAATCCGAAAAAAGATACCTGAACTGACTGTGAAGTGCCCCAACGAATGCGCGGGAACTTTATATAGCGCCGACCAGCACCGGCACCGCTCGTCGCTTTAAAGGAGCCATATATATGAATAAGAATTTTTTTCAAAACTGTTAAAAATATTGTAGATAAAGTCCCAAAGGGACGCATAAAAAATTTAGGTTTTTTAGTTTGAGTAAGTAATTTTAATGCGTAAAATACAAAATAGCAAAATAAAAAGATTAATTTTCATCATCAATTAAAATGTACTTGGGCAAAAACAAAGTTAACATTAACGAAAAAACATATATATATATATAAAACAATGTAGAAGCAGTTAATATGCGCTTTGAGCAGAATACAAACACAAAAAACAGGGGTTGTGCACAAAAAATCATAAAATTTAATAAATTTGTAAGAAAAATTAAAAATAAAAACTAGCCTTTTTTAAAAAAAATTTAAAAATGGGTTGATTCGTTCCAAGGCAGATAACACTGCCAATGTAATAAACGTAGGAGAAGTTGTACATAGTTAACAAACATACTGCTAATTATACAAATTGTGATAGCCTCAGTAATTATTCTTCTGGAGAAATATCTTCAGCACAAAAATTTACTAATAAAACTTACATGAGTAGGGCTATCGACCTTGACAAGCTCTAAGTAGGATCCTTAAAAAACAATTTGGACATTGTTAGGGGAAGTTCCACATGGAATGCCGCAAATAGTTGAGAGAATAAAGTTGTATAGGTCAAATTTCGAAAAATCATACAAATGCCTTAATAAAAGCGCACATGCTTGTGACCGACACAATCAAACACACTGAGATTTTACACCCAAGAAATTGAGCAATTGCCAAAGCACTGAAAGGGGCATACATTGCTGATGGTATTTTATCGACCTTAGAAAATAAATAATCCACCTCACTAGCTGTCAAAGCCATGGTAAAAAATTACTCAATAGACGAGTTAAAGTTTAAAATGAAGGCGTTCAATTTAATAACATGAACGATGCCATTTCGAAACTTGTCAACAGCTGCATCGATGCAACTGGCAGACCAGATACAGTTCTGCATTAAAGGAATCGGCATCCCAATAACTATTGTACAGGCAACATCAGAAACCGCGGTAGTTACCG